ACGAGCTATATAGCTTTACGAATAACTTAACGTTACTAAAAAACTTAATAGTTATAAGAAGAATTAGCTTTTTTAAAGTTTAATAAAAGTAATACTTATGATTAAAAGAATTACGTGCATTAGCTAACTAAAAGGTTTTATAATCAAGTCAAAAGTCTTTTAATTAATATAACATTTTAAGCGAAGCATGCTAATTGACTCGTGAATTATAGTTCACGAGTGAACTCTTTTTTTAACTATTATTATCGGTATTCTTAGCTAGCTAGCTAAAGTCGATATAAATATATTAATAATAATAAAAAAACTAAAGATATCGATAAAAAAGAATTCAATTAATTATTGCAATCAATTGTAAATAAGTAAATATAAAAATTTAATAATACAAAAAAAGCAATTTAGTAAATAAAATTAAAGTCGTTAATTATAAAACCTAGCAAAAGCGATACTCTTTGCAGTTAAACGCTTGATTCCAAAAGAAGCTTCTTTCTTTTTATTTTATATTAATTTCGCTTTATCATCTTTTTTTTTTCTATTCGTTTGCGCTTTAAAGTTGATAATGGATTTGTAATTCGTTCGCTTATAAAAGTATTAGATTTAAGGTCGTTAAACTTATATATAATAATTAACTTACTTTGACTTTGAATAACGATTAAAAGAGTTTTAAGTTTCGAAATATTAAGTTTCGAAGTTTAAGCGGCATTTAAGGTTCTATAAGATAGCGAAGCCGAGTCCGGTATTCTATCAGCTTCTTTTTTACTTATTATCTTTTCATCACTTTGCTTAAAGCTTAATATTTCTTTTGCGTTAAAATAATTTTATTAAGAAATATTATTCGAATCGTTTTGATCGTATAAATTTGCTATCGCTAATATTTAAGTTAGAATTTATATTTAAATAAAAGCGTATATTATATAATATCGTACTTTGTTGCACTTTATTTTTATAATTTATATAGCGTTTAAAGCTAATCGATTCGTTTGTACCGTTCGAATTTGAATTTTCTAAATCGTTTTCGTTTTCTATATCATTAAAAACGTTTTAATTTATATTATTTTAAGTTTGCTTATCGAAAAGTAAATCCGTAACTACTTTCGATTGATTTACTTTGCTTGGTTTTCTTTATGAAGAATATAATCGATTTGCTACGACTTTGCTTTGAAAAGCGGAAGAATACGCTTTGTATAATCCTATATGATAATTAGTAAATCGATTAGTAAATCGATTAGTAAATCGATAAAAAGTAAAAATATCGCAAGTAAATTGATTTACTTTTTAAATGCCTTTCGTAATTTAAAGACTTTCCGTATCGTAACTATCGTATTTTAAACGAAACATCTTTATTAATATCTTAAAACCTATTTAAGTTCTCTTTTATTTAATATAATTAATAAATATTTATAAAATCAATATTATTTAAACTTACGTGATTCTCGCACTTCAGCTTTTAATATTATTAACTTAGCTTTTCGTTGCTTAAAACTCATTGTTCGAAAGTCTTAATCGATTGCAAGATTATCGTAAGTAAAAATATATTTAAAATAAGATAAGCTTTGAAATTAACGATTTTGCTATTTTTAAAACCTTTATATTTTTTATTCGAATTCTTTTTTAAGCTGATCTTTATTTAAATTATTGTAATTTATTAAAATCGATTCGAATAAGTACCGAGCTTTATTCAAGCGAGTACTATATATTTTAAAATATAAAGCAGTTATTTCTTTTACGATTGTTAATAGCGGTAAATTACCGCTATAATAATCGCAAATATTTTTTATAATATGAAATACTTTTTTTACGCAAACACTAGTTAAAAAGATATATAGAAAATCTTTAGCTATTCGAGCTAAATCAAAGTATCGAAGCTTAAGGTTTCGTTAAGAAGTTAAAATCTTTCGTCCGTCGACCGTTAAACTCAATTAATAAAAATTAATAAAATTAAGGTTTTGAATTAAAATTTTAAACTTACGAGCTGAAAGATAATCATACACTTTCGACGACTCGTGATCTGTATCTTCGAAAAAAGCTTATAAAAAAGAACTTAGTATTAATTTGCCGCGAAGTAATAAAGCGGCTATCGATTAACGATCGATTGCTTTAATATTATCAATACGTTAAGCTATAAATATTAAAGACTTATAATGTTTATTAAAAAGCTTTTCGAATTTCGCTCGATATATTATAAATTAATCTTTACTTTCGTAAAGCTAAAAAAAATTTAAGTCGAAAGTCTTTAGCTTAATAGCAAGATATAAGATTATCGCGAAAGCAAAAATATTTTTTAACGGCTTTTTCGTTTTTTTATAATACTTATTTAATTTTTCGATAGTATTAATAACGCTTTCTTTTAATTGCAAAATCTATTCAAAATCATTGCGATCTTCTTTCGAAATCTTTATATATTTAAACTTTAATCGTGCTTATGTTTTATTTAAACGTTCGAATATTTTATCGAATATTAAAAATCCGTATTAAATAATAAGATTAAGCTCTTTACTTAAATATATAATTAAAAAGTGAAACGGTCGAAAGATATCGATTAACTATAAGATTTGCTTTTATTAAATATTAAATAATTTAAAAATACTTATCTTATCGATCTTTATATAATATTTTTAAATAACATCTTTAAGAGTTATAAATCGATTAATCATATAAACTATAAAATCTTATTTTATAATAATATTTAAAACAAGCTTTAAGCTTTTCGTTAAAAGATGCTTTGAATCGTCGATAAAAACTTTTATCGTTTTATTAAATCGCGATTTTCGAAATTAACTAGCCGTAATACACTTAACAAACTTCCGAACTTAAGTAAGTTGATTAATAAATATAATTAATAAATATTTTTTTTTTAAAAAAAAACTCATAATCGCAAGTGTATATGCAATCCTTCGTTTATCGCGTCTTCTTGCTCTTTTTAGCTCGTTTATATTAGAATCTTCTTCTTAATGCTTTTCTAAGCTTTCGTTCGTTAACGATAATCGCGATTCGAGCAACGCTTTAAAAGATAATTATAAAACGTAAGTTATATACGGAACGTATAGAATCTCTTAGCTTATAAAAAGCTTTTTCTTAAACGCATCTTCGACGCATTTAAGCAATTCTTTTATTATTATATTATTCGAAGATGCGTTATCCGTTGTAATCGCGATTATCTTTTTTATTAAGCTTAATTTAATAAAGCGTTCGTAAATAATTCTTATTAATTCTGTTTTTATATAATTAAACTTAACGTATATAAATCCAAGCATAAGCTAAATTATATGCTAATCTTTTATAATTGCAATTCCGATTATATATATAAAAGAATAGCGCTTAATACTAGACTAATAATCTAATAAAATGCTAAGTTTTTAATTAGCTAGTAAATTATCTAATAGATAGCGATCAATTTTTAAAATCTTATCGTCGAAGTTTCGCTTAATAGTTGAAGCATTAAAGAGCTTAAGATATAAGTTTTATAATTCGCAAAAAGATTTTCAATCCGAGTTATTAACTATTCGAAACGAGCTTCGCGTAAATAATATAATATTTAAAACACTTTTTCGAAATGCTGATTTTAAGTCTTGATGCGAAAGCGTTCTTCGTAATAGATGTGTTTATTTAATATTAGTTTTATTATTTATTAATTAAATTTACTAATCCGATTTATTAATTAGATTTATTAATCAGATTTATTAATCAGATTTATCAATCAGATTTATTAATCAGATTTATTAATTAGATTTATTAATTAGATTTACTAATCAGATTTATTAATTAGATTTATTAGATTTATTAATCGAATTTATAAATAAAAACAAACGTATTAAATTGCGTTAAAGAGATTTAGATTTTAATTGAGTTTGCCGAAGCTTTTGTTTTGGCTTACTTACGACGCGTTTGCAAACGTTCGTTTTTTAATAATCGGCTAATGCTTTCGTTTTAAAAGCTTTTAGCTTCGGATGCTTTAAAGCTCGGTCGCACTTTTTATAGCATACTATAAGCTCTTTTATTGATTTCTTAGCTGCTTAAACGAATCTAATTTATATAAAAGAAGTTTTCTTTTTATTTTAATCGATTCGCAAAGGATTTTAATTAGCCTTTTATTATTAAGAATACTATAAGGTCTATAATTACTAAGTATTAAAAGTCTTAATCTCTTTGACGTTTTAAATATAATATTGATTAAAATATTTAATAGTTGCTGATAGTATTAAGCTAAAGAAACTAATTGTAAAGCTTTCGAACTTTTGATTTTGAAATAAATCGGTATCTTCGTAAGTGATTAAAGTAATTTAAGATGAAAACGAATCAATAGCTTAAGAAGACATGTTTAGATTTTAACGAATTTGCTATTAAACTATTGATTTGAACTTATATATCAACGTCTTATATACTTGAATATTATATAATTGTGACGAACTGATGAATTCTGACCTTAGAATACAAAGTGAAGAAAGGAAACAGGAAGCTCGGGGAGCTCAGGAAGGTCTATATACATGGCCACAAGCGCTAGGCCTGAATGGGTGATCAGCTGACTGCAAGTAACAAGGCAGGCTGTCATACTACCCCTTTAGAGAGCGGTCCCAGCTCTCTCAAAAAGTACTTGACAAAGGAAGGAAAAAATAAAAAAATTCAGTCGTGAACCATGGTTCACGGATGGAATTGCTGAAAAAAAAAACCAAAAAATACGCCGAGGCTACAGATCGCGATAATCGTCAAGGTCAGCGTCGTAGCCTCTAAAAGCGTTCCATTCCGCCAAAATTTCCTCCTTCTCGTCCGAGTCAAACTCGCTTAAACCTTCATTTTCCTTAACAAGTCGGTCCGAAAAAGGATCCTAAAGAACTCGCTTCTTTATCAAGGGCTTAGCTAGAAGAAGGGTACAGCCAGCTATCCAATAGTCGATTGCACCGCAACGAGTACAGCGATTTGATTTGCGCCAAGCTTCGCGCTGATCAAGAGTGCTGTGAAGAGCATGCTAAAGAGTGGGGTATCGGTCTTCCAACAGCTGAGTTTGGTCAGCCTCGTGAGCGTCGATAAGCTCTATAGCGCCGAGCTCGTTGGCGTGCTGCAATTGCTCGAGTTGTTAAGCGCGGTCGACTGCTGAAAGGTCCATTGGGTCGCCGGGAAGAAGGCCCGTTGACGTGCGAGGGCGGTTCTAAGGAGCCGATAAGGCCGGAGGCCGAGAGAATCCGTAGGACGGGCCGGAAGAGCCGAAAGAGCGTCCAAGCTGCTAAGTGACGTGCACGTATTCGGTATACGTAATTAAGAGAATCAATTAGCCATTCAAACGGGTCCGAATAGTTGAGTTCAGACCATTGCGGAACGCAATAATCTTATTAGCGTCGGGCCAAGTCTGACAGCGAGCAGCGTGCAAAAGTCGTTCGAAGCGTAAGACGTAGATATAGAGAGCGTCCGTACCTTGCTTGCAAGCAAGCAGCTTATCTTCAGCTTCTTGAATTTTGTTTAGATTGTCGTAAGCGAGAACGAGCTGATCTAGAAGAGTATTATAGTCCCAATTGCCGGAGTCTTGAGCTGAAGCCAATTGAATCAAAACCATTGCTTAGGGACCGGGTTCCATATTGAAGTAAACGTAGTAGAACTGCGCAGTAGGTCCGCCAAGAGCCTTACCGTCGACGAGAAGCTTGGCCTTGATTAAAGGGAGCCAGGTATCCCACCGCTGAACCGTGCCGTTGAACTTATCGGGATCAGGAAGGACGCATTTGCGCTGGCGAAGGGCCATTCGTAATTGCTCTACGAAAGACTCCAATTGAGCGATTCTCGTAAAGGGGGAAGGGCCGTCGTCTTCGTGAGAGGACATAGTGGTGGAATAAAGAAGGGGGCGTTTGAGTGTCGGAAACGCCAAGAAAAAAGTGGAGAAGAAAGTTCGTCTTGCAACTAAAGTGCAAAAAATTGAATAGAGCTCTTTTAGGTCGGAAGAGCTAAGGAAGAGGTGAGGTCGTAAAAAAGACAATAATCTATAAGCAATAAATGAAGACCGTAAAGCACCCAACAAGTAACTCACTCCGTTCTTGATAATAATCAATAAGCCGTAATCTGTAACAATAAGCAATAACAATAAGCTGTAATACGACGACTTAATCGAAGGACTTTGTATAATGTGACGAACTGATAAATTCTGACCTTAGAATACAAAGTGAGAAGAAGAAACAAGAAGCTCGGGGAGCTCAAGAAGGTCTATATACATGGCCACAAGCGCTAGGCCTGAATGGGTGATCAGCTGACTGCAGGTAACAAGGCAGGCTGTCACAATAATATCATTTTATAATTTAAATA